ATTGAATTAAAAAAAAAGAATAAAAAAAGAAGGATAAAATGGTCATTTATATAATTCAGGACAACAATTCAGAGGTTCCAACCAAACAGCATGTAAAAAATTCAGATCTTAAAAATTCAGACCCTCTTAGAAATTCAGACATCTTAAAAATTCAGATCCTGCCAAACAGCCCTTACTATTATTCACATTATGAATTTGCTCAGATTGGGCAGATTCACAATGTGAACTTGTACTGAAATTTCGTTTTTTTACATGAATATGAATCTATATTTAAAGAGTACCAAAAAAATATGAATTTGGATATATTTATTAAATTTTACGATAAAAAATAGGTATTAACTTTTCAAAAAACAAAGAAATGAAATGGGTTTTTTTGGAAAAAAAATCATTTTTTGTATATCAATATGGATCTCTATGGAAAGAGGACGAAAAATTATGAGAAATGATATATTCGGTTTTTTTTTCGATAAAAAACATGGTCTAAAAAAAATTTAAACAAAAAATAAAGGAAGTGAGTTTTGTTATAATCCGGTGTATGTATGTCCATTGTAAAAATTTATTACCCTTCTTTTTGCCGTTGATCGTTTTAAATTCTGACACTTTTGATTGATTTTTTGGTTCGTTGATTAATAATGGTTTTTTATTGAATTTTTCGATATATATATATATATATATATATATATATATATATATATATAGAGAGAGAGAGAGAGAGAGAGAGAGGATTCAATTGAGAATAAAAAAGTTGAGAATGTGGTAATCATTCACAGCCACACATTTATTTTGCCGCAAAACACTTAGGCGTACCCGCAGAAATGGGTAACGGATACACATGTGTTTTCTAACCAAACATGTTTCCTTAAACTATGCTAATCATCTACTCTAATAAATAAATGTTTTTTGCCACAAGTTGCACTCTCATTCAATTTGCCAAATGTCATTTTGTGGTTATTTTGAATTAATTTTTTTTCCACATGTCATTTTATGAGTTTTCTATTTTATTAAATTAAACATAATATTTTAAAGTAATAATTGCAATAAATGTAGTAATAAATGAATATCAATTTCATTAATTAACTTACCTTTTAATTTCAAAATTCTCAAATTAAAGCTCATTAGTTTTTTTTGTTTATTTATTTAAATTATTTGTTTAAATTTAAAAGATAAAAAACATTTTAATTATAATAATTCATTATTTTTCTTATTTTCTTATAAATTTAAAGTTCTCAAATATTTTGACATTTATATTTAACTTTTGTTTTTAAATTAACTCATATAATACATGGGTCTCACAACTAATATATATTATATAATCATTTAATTAGCTATTTTCACACCAAAAAACCATCTGAAGGCTACAATCCATTAATGTCCTATTTGTTGAATCCCTCGGTAAAAGATTGTTTCCTTGGTAAATCCTCCTTAATGTCCTATATGTTGAATAATCAAAATAAATTCCATTTACATCTTTGATCTGTCGTGAATTCTTCGCTATATGCCCAAATTTTGCTAGAGAAATTATTCGTAGCTAATTATGTCGTTGAAACCCAAGTTTCTAGTTACCTTAATATACACAAAAACATATATATTTTTTTTGTTTATTTTTTATTTTTAGAAAACTATTTTTATCAAAAAATTATTTTAAATATATTAAAATTCATAATTTTTTATTCTCTATAAATAGATATCCATACTGATATAATTTAAAAAAAAAACTAAAATAAATATTTTTTTAGAGTTTCATCTTTCGTTATTCATAAGTGAATAAAAATACATCAGATTTTTATTACAGTCGTTATTCACTTATAAATAAAACGTATGTATAACTTTTTTACAGTTTAAGTATCATTCATATATGAATATAACACGTAATAAAGTTTTCTTACTTAAAATATATTTTTTTTACATCATCTTTCGTCACATGTTATGTTTATATATGAATAAACATGTATTAGCTGTCTTCATATGTTATATTCATATATGAATAAAACATTTATCAGATTTTTGTAACAGTTCATTACTTATTCATATATGAATAAGTAGTATGTTAATATAAGACGAAGTGTTTCCAAAATTTGAACTAATTATTTATATATGAATAACAAATGAACTGAAACAAAATTATGATAAATGTGTTCTTCATATATGAATATAACTTGTGAGGAAAACTAATACACGTTTTATTCATATATGACTATAACATGGTTCGAGAGCTGATGTAACTGTAAAGAATTTATTATATGTTATATTCATATATGAATGATACTTAAACTGTAATAAAAATTAATCATACTTTTTATTCCTAAGTGAATAACGATTCAAATTATTAGCTCCAACCGGAGGAATTGTAGCTTCTGTAATTATTTGCATAATTTCATCAACACTTTGCATCGGTTGATCTGGCCCACCAAATTGATCCATTGCATTTTCTTTTGTTAATTCTGTTGGCAAGTTCTTCAGAAATCATTCATGGTTTCTTATCTCATCCATTGTTATCCACTTAGCAGGATCAGCAACAAAGATTTTGGAGATTAAATGGCGACACTTAGTGGAAATATGAACATAAGATGGAATCGAGTATTGGACATTCAGAATTTGCTGTATAGTCTTGCGGAAATTCTTGGGTTCATCAAGGTCTTCAAAAGGGTAAGCTCCAACAAGCATGACATATAATGTTACACCACATGACCATACATCTGCAATCTTTCCATCATATTCTTTTTTAAGAAAGACTTCACTGATTCGGTTTCTTGCAGGTTCAGACTAGGTGAAGAAGATGAACAATAGCTTCGTTCTTGGCTCAGAAGAAGCAGTTGATAGGTAGTGATGGTTGTTTGAAGGAGGTGGCTACGAGTTGGTTTATGTTTTTAGGTGGTCTCGGTTAGGGGAAGGGGATCGAGTATCGACGGAAAGGGCGAAGTGGAGAGGTGGACTCGGTGATGATACAAAACCGAAGGCAGTTTCCGGTTTCTCGATGAGTAAGGATGGAAAGCTCTCAAGTCTCGACTAGAGGGCAAAGAACATAGCATCAGTTTTTTTATGTTTCTTTTCTTTGTTGCGGGTGTTTTTTGATGGAGAATATGAAGAGCAGCAGTAGGTTTCTTTTTCTGTTTGTGATGGAGGTTGTGTAAGGGAGGTCTAAAGTGGTGACTATGAATTTGGCTTGTTCTGGTTCAGATCAACGAAGGAGTGGCTCTAATGGTGGGTTTCTCGGTAAAAGCTCTTATCTCTTTTCTTCTTCTTCCTGGTTCGTTTCAATTGACAAAAAAAGAATCAAATACATACAACAATTTCCATGAATCGGAAGGGCGCATGAACATTTAATCGACTGGGTTTACCTTTATCAGTAGATCCCGATCATCCAGTCGATTGGGGGAATTGATTTGGGGAGAAATTCAATTTTCTTAATGAATAGAGGATGCAATCGACTGGTGTAATGGTTTAGACGAAAGTAGGATTGCTAGGTACCTACTCAACCGGTTACAAGACAAAAAAAAAACAAGTTTTTGCAAAATGTGCGGTTTTTTTTTGGAAAAAAAACAAACCTTTTGGTTTAATACGAAAAAAACAGTAAATATTGAAAACACACGTGTATTCTTTTTCTATTTCCGCCCATTCTCTCTCTCTCTCTCTCTCTCTATATATATATATATATATATATATATATATATATATATAATATATATATATATAGGAAAACAAAAAAAACCCTAAAAATCATAAAAAATGCATAAAAAAATACCTAGAGATCACAAAACTTTTTTTTGATATTTTTTATGAAACAATCGCAAGTTTTTAAAGAAATTCGCTGAAAAAATTTTTAAAAAAAAAAAAGAAAAGAAAACTGATTTTTTATTTTTTTTTCAGCGAATTTTAATAAAAAGCTGCGATTTTTTATAAAAAAATTCAAAAAAAAAAAATTTGTGATCTCTAAGTATTTTTTTATGCATTTTTATGATTTTTAGGATTTTTTGTTTTCCATAGAACCTAAACCTATATATATATATGATATATATATATATTATATATATAATATATATCTATATATATATATATATATATCTATATGACTTTTTTCTTAAAGCTAGAAAATAGAAACTCTCATAAATTATGTGTCGCCCTTAATAAAATAAGTAATTATTGCTTAATATTTACATTTTGAAAACTTTTTATTATCGGTTTTAAACAAATGTTAATAAATTATTTTGACATTATATATAATCATTCAAATGGTAATAAAATAAGTAATTATTGCTTAATAAAACTTTTTATTATTGCTCATTCTTAGATTTAGTTTAATATGATTTCTGATTTAAAACAACATTCAACAAATTGACATTATATATAATCATAATATGACATTGTTTGCTTTATATATTTATTATATATGCTTAACAAAATGACATTATAAATAATCAAAATGTATAAAAGTAAAAATTAATAATAACTATAATAAATAGTGATTTAAACTAGTTTATAAACAACTTATAAAAATTATATATTATACTTTATTGATATTAAATTAATTAAATAAGTAAAAATTAACATTAACAATAAATAATAATATAGATATTATAGACAAAACAAAAAAATAAATAAAATAGAAAATTAGTTTAATTGATGTTACTTTTTCATATGTTTAGTTTAATACAAAAAAATAATATTAGTTTAAACCTGAAAAAGATGTCTTTTAGTACCATAATTTTTTTATGAAATGCCCGTAACCCCTAAAATCGTAAATTTGTTTTGCCCAATTTTCGCTGTCCACGTCTTTGGGAAATAGGTAGATAAATAATATAAACTTATAAGTATATCAAAAGCATGTATAGAAAAAAAAAAAAAAAAAAAAAAAAAAAAAAAAAAAAACTTATCAGCCACAACCGTAAAACCGGATGTAGCAAAGGATCATCGTTTATTTTAATTTGTGATATAGATTCATAACGCTGTTATAACAGACACAATGCACCTTTCAAAATCATAAAAAACCCTAAATTATATACTCAAACAGGTCCAACAAAGGACATAAGCTGTCTAAATTTCTGCCATGGCTTATCCCAAACGAGTGCCACATAATTATTCTCAACACCGCCTTCTACCGCCGTAATCGTTATGTTGTATTGCGTTCCAGCCACCACTTGGCTCTCTCCGCCCACCACTTTTTCAAACTGCAGCGACATATGGTCATCCTTGTCGTGCTCATCCACCGCAAACTTCCCGATCTCAATGACCATGGGGTCACTTGCATTGATTGGCGTCCAACCGCCGGCGAGAGTCCGTGCGCCGAGCACGAAGGAGAAATTATAAAGGAAAGGAAGGAAGAAGATGAGGATTGTGACAAAGAGATGTCGCATTTTGAAAAGATAATTGATGTGAAAAAAGATATAGAAGTAGGTGGGTAGCTGTGGAAATATATAGGGAATAGAAGCGACAACCTTTGATATAATATTTCATATATATTACGTAACTGATATATCATAAATGATTTCTAAATGTAAATTGGTTATCTTAATTTCCGTGCAACCATTTTATTTGACTATTGGATATGGGTAACATCCAATCCAATGTGGCGTTTTTAGGTGTAATAATGCACAAATACCACCTTCTTCATTATTATTGGACGATATACACATATGCGTTGTTTTCCGTTACCACCACCGCCTTCAATTGACGTCGTTTTTCTTCTTTTTCTCAGAAACGCCGGTGTGGGCAACGGCGTTGCCCACACCTACCAGCCTAAATGAATAAATGGCATGTTATTTCAAGATTGTTTATGATGATTACTTGAAAATTAAACATTTAAAAATGAGTTATGGCTAACTTGATTGAACGTTTTATATTTTTTTGGAACAACTAAATGTCTAAATTGCATTAAAATGACACTATTAAGGAACTAATGAAAACCCGAAACTGTTACATGTAAATATTTAAAATTGGTTTTGTGATGCCATAAATTTCAACTAATACGAAATTATGCTTCCTATCAACAAACCCAACAAAAAGAAAGGCAAAAATGTCATCAAAAAATCATAGTCCGTTTCGATCTATTTTCTGATCAAAAACACATTTGTTCTTGAAGTTTAAGAAGCATCACTGAGCTTTAGAGATAATCGCACCCAAAACAGATCTCTGAACCAACAGAAATCGAACCGAGGACAATGGTGGATCCAGAATTTTATAATGTTGGAGGCACAAAAAATATCAAATAATTTTTTTTTTCAGATAGAATTAAAATGATTATAAATTTCAGTTCAGATTAAAAGGGTTATTCGTACCTAAAAAGCTATTTGGCAACTTATTATTTTGATGACTTATTATTTTGATGCTACACAATGTGCCACACCCACTATATTTTACAATATTGTTCTAAACATCACAATTACACACCTTGTAACATAGGTAAATGATAATTGCTAGTGTGAAGACCTTTATTTTTCTCTAGTTCTTTTATATTAACATTTTAACACCAAAACATATAGAAAATATAAATAAAAGTTTTAACACCTAACTATCATCTAGTATAAGTATGTTTGATGTCGGAGCAACATAAGAGATTATTATATCATGTGTCTTTCTTGGAATGCTTTAGATCCAAATGAATCTCATCAACAAAAAAGCAAGTTTTATCTCCATATAAAAAAATAATAAATTATATTAACGTAGTTAACCAGATCTTCTAATAAATGTAGAAACATTTCTCTCAGGAATTTTGCCAAACACTAATTGGGCATCCTTTACAATTCTACTATTCACATACCCAAAAATCAAACAATTTCATGAAACAGTACTTCATACATTCCAAGAAACATTTTCAATGTTAATATTCAAAGTACAAGCAGAACATCAAATTTCGTTTACTTAGCTACACAAAAGCATTAAAAAAGATTTCAAGATGCACCCTACACAACATCAAATTGAAGAAGATGGTGTGAAAAAAATGTGTGTATAGATAGAGCTCGAGATGTCCTCGACACTTCAAACCTTTCGTAACTTATTCCAAATTTCAGTGAGGTCACTTTATATCAGGGAACAAAAATACAATATCTATGCAAATAAAATAAACCATTGGGAGCACATGCCCCTACCTCCTTATAAAATTTGCCCCTAAAAAGGACACAAGGTCTTCAAAATCACCAATCGTGAAGAGAGAAGCAAGATCCACATCACATCACTGGTTTCGCAACCTCACACTGTAGAAAAACATGATCGACATTCTCCACCTGTTTGGTATAGATCAAGAAAAAAAGAATGAACATCAATACCACGAGAAACAAGGTTATATCTCATCGGAAAGCGACTCAAAATGAGTCTCCAATGAAAAATATTCACCTTGATTGGAATCAAATTATTCAACATTGTTTAACATGTACCATGGGGTAAGATATTATCATAAAAGGACGAGTATCTTTGACGTAAACTCCATCTGTTAGTCAAATCCCAAAACTAACTATTTGACCAATCTGAAAACACCCGATTAGCCAACAACATTGCCAAACTCTCAAATCGAGACAACCAATTTTCCCTAATTAATATCCAATGGATTTTCACCTGTATTTCCTTCTCCATTCCCTTCAACCCTTTTAGCCAATTTTTTCTTTATAATCCTCTCAAAAAGCTTCCTTTTTCATGTACTCATTGTTTTTGCTTTCTCTTAAGGTCCTGCAGCTTCATTTGATTTTGCACCACTACTTCCTTCCCCTTCTTTACCATCTTTACAAGTCGATCTTTTTCTTTTCACCCTGAGTTTTTTAGGGTTATCAACTTTTTTGGGTTTCTCAACTTGAGGACATGTAACCTTGTTGTGACCAACTTGTTTACACACACTGCATAGAATTTTCTTCCTAACCTTTGAGACAGTATGTCTAGTACTCTTTTCAATTGGGTCCTTCCTTCTATTAACTTTTGATATGCCTGACATTTTTCTCCTCAAAAGTGGTAGTGGTGGTATGAATTTATGTAACACCTATTCCAGGTATTGATTAATTTTATAATTTTTAGGGTTTTGTGCATGGACTCAGCGAGTTGGGGTACTCCAACTCGTCGAGTAGAGACAGTTAGGGGACGCGGGATTTGGGTCCTACTCGACGAGTCGGAAGGCCCCGACTCGACGAGTAGGAGCTGTAAAGAGAAACCCTAATTTTTAGGGTTTGCACCCCATTTAAAGAACTTAATGTGCCTCTTGTAGCCTCCCTTATCACCCTAATAGCCAGAGAAAACCCTAGATCGGTCTTGAACCTTCTTGAGTGAGAGAAAGAGCTTTTGTGAGAAATTTTGGGGTATTTGTGAAGGATTCTAGAGCTTGAAGAGGAAGGAGCAAGGAGGGAAGCAGTAGATCCGACATCTACTCTGTTTTGGCCATCATCTTGAGGTATAAAGTCGTCACCTTGATCTCTAGTTGATTAGATCCCCTTTCTTGGAAGTAAATGACCATTTTTGGTGCAAAATGGAGTCAAACTCGAATCTGGACTTATCACAAGGATATGGTTCCAGATCTGGACCTCTCTAGGTCCCCAATGGCATAAAGTTGCTCACTTTATGCAGCCTAGCCCCTTTCCATGCACAGAAACCTTGTAAGAAGCCTAGTTTTGAGATTATGGCCTTGTAGGGCCTTGCATGCACGTAAAGTTTGCAACTTTACGTGGAATCTTCACTAAGGGAGTTTGGATCTGGAGTTTGTGTGACAACCCGAAACTTTTTCCGTTATCCTTACTCAATTTCCGTTAATCAAATTCGGATTTTTATTTAATTCCGTCAAATTTGATAGTTTGGGAAAGACTTTGCGTGTAAATAAATCAAATTCGGATTTATTTCTGTTCACGTCAGTATTATTTTTGGACTAACGGAATATTCTAAACTTAGTACATCAAAGGAATCGGTGTTAGGATGAATTTGTTGAAGTTCTAGACATGAAGCAAAACGAAAACCTCCTCAAAAAGGAGTTTTCGGTCAAGACCTTAGAGTTTTCGGTCAAGGTGACCGAAAACCCCATCCTATATATATATATTTCATGATCATTTTGATCATTCTTTCCCTTTTTACAAGTCTAGAACTCGAAAACTCTCTCAAGTATCATCAAGTTCTTCACTTTGATCTTCAAATTCTCGAAAATGTAAGTGTTTCTTTCCCCTTGTTTTGTTATTAGATCTTCCTAACTAGTAACACCCTTCGATTTCATCCATTAACTTCATCTTTTGGGTTTAATCTTCAAGAACACCAAGAACACACACTAGTGTTTTGGGCCGAAAACACCCTTCTTTGCTTCCATATTGTAAGTATCTATATCCTATACTTGTTATCTAGTAAGGATACTTGATTTAGGGCCTTGAAATCGTCATTTTCCAAGAACAAAAGGAGTTTTCGGTATAGTGCATCTCCTTTGACCGAAAACCCTAAAGAAAGGTGCCTTTAAGACCTTAAAACTCACTTAAGGCTTTGGATAAAACTTAGAACCCCTATGCATGTTTGAAAGCCCTTGAAAATCACCACATGCATCAAACATCATGAGTTTTCGGTCACATTCATGGACCGAAAACCCTTCATGGACCAAAAACCCTTCATGGACCGAAAACCACTTGGACCGAAAACTTCCCTTAAGTGGCTTTACAACCCTTAGATGCAACCCTTGGTACTTCTAGCAGTTGAATCAAAGTGTTTTCCATGTCCTAGGGTGTCTTAACTTGGTTAATTAGTTGTTAAATGACTATTTGTATTCATATATGTGTCTTTATATGTTGATAGGATCTGTGTGTGTGTTCAAGTCCTCACTTGACACTTAGCATCCTTTTTCCGATCTTACATTCGCATCACTCACTTCAGGTGAGTTCATACACCCTACGCTTTTCCCGAGTTTTTTTCATGTTTTCAGGGAGGGGGGGAATACAAGCAAAAGTACAAGGAAACTTGTGCTCAAGTTATCTCATTTTGCATAGAATGATTATATGTTCAGCATGCTTTTAACTCAGAAAACCGTTTTACCAATCGATTAAGAAATCAACTCGTAGAAACAGTTTTCAAAACTAAAGCAAGGAACTTGTAAATCTTATCATAAAATGTGATATTTTATAAAGGATTTATACAAAACATAAACAGGATTTTCGGTACTATTACTTGTAAGTTTGTTATTTTAGGATTGGAGACACGTCCTTGGTAACACTCCACCGGATTTTGTGAGTGTAGGACTGACCCTTATAACCAGAATCTCTTGTAGGGAGAGCGTGACTATTGTGTATAGATCTATACGAGACTGACTACCCCGCACCTCGCTGCTAGCTACAGTGGGACCGTCAGGTCTACGGGTGACAAAGTCATAAAAGGATACTGGCCCCGTTACGTGCCATATCTAGTTTAATGTATG